GTCTGTGAAAGCTGGTTGTATATTTAGTTTCCTAGTAAGATTGTTAAATGTATTTGCATAATTTTTAATGTGGCATTATGAAATATTTTTTATGTTGGTATTAGATTCGTTTTGTTCATTGGATGCTGTGTTATCTATGAATTTTTTGGACCTTTCATGTATTGTATTACTATAAATTCAAAGGTTCAAAAAATTCATAGATAACACAACATCCAATGAACAAAACGAATCTAATACCAACATAAAAAATTTTTCATAATACCACATTAAAAATTATGCAAATACATTTAACAATCTTACTAGGAAATTAAATATACAACCAGCTTTCACACACCATCCTGTAAAATTAAATAAAATCATAATAATAGGGAAAAACCACTTAGAAAAAATGCACAGGAGTCAACTAATTTATAAAATTAACTGTCTTGATTGTGAAACTACGTATGTAGGCCAAACAAAAAAGCAATTACAGACACGGATAAAAAAACACTGCAATGAAATCAATAAAAAAAGGTAGCCCTCCCTCTGTGATTTTGGAGTATAGACTTTTTAATAAAAATGAATTTGATTGGAATAATATTAGGATTTTGGACAATAAACCTTCGTACATGAAAGAAAAGAACGGTATCGGAGATGATTTATTATACAGGGTGTTTCCAAATTAAATGGCAAAACTTCGGGAGCGTGTAGAGGAGTAAAAAACTAAGAAAAAAAGTCCTATAGACATATGCTCCTTTTTGCTTTGTTTCGCAGGAAATCACGAAAAAAGAAAAAAATATATTTAATTTATTATTTTAATTATTTTATTTATAAACTTTTTAATGAAGATTTTGTTCGAAATGTGCACCTCTTGCAGCAATACAAGCATTGCATCTGTCAAACACGGCTCTTGTAGCAGCCAGGCCTTTAAAGCATTACCGTTGCAGAAACCGTATACAAAAACCATATCAGCATATTCACTATTAGAATACGTACGCGGCATATTGCAAAAGACAAAATTCATCTACTATTAAAGGCTTTCAAAGAGCGACTGACAAATTCATAACAGAAAGTGGAAAATGTAATCAAATATGTCGGTGCTAGATATGGCAAGAAATATAAACATTTTTTTTCGATTTCTCTGAAACGGAGCAAAAACGAGCATATGTCTATAGGACTTTTTTTCTTAGTTTTTTACTCCTCTACACGCTCCCGAAGTTTTGCGATTTAATTTGGAAACACCCTGTATATAAAAAAACAAGAAGCAGGTATCAACAAAATGATACGAAATTATTATCAGACACATACTTACATATCTTAGAATTATTGTCTCCCACCTAATGCGCTATGTCCTTTGTAGAGGTGTTTGTTATTTACAATTTCTGTATGCTCTTGTTATTTTCCGATGTAAGGTTGAAGTTCACAGATGTAAATTGTAATTGCTAATTAAGGATTCAGGTAGAACAATTAAAATATATTACAATTGACGCAATGATTTTATGTAACAACTAAGACGATAGGATAACAATATAGAAATTTTTCAAATTCAGATTATAATTAAAATAATTACAAAAATAGGGTAACCTAACTAATAATATTCTAATTATAGTATATTGACAAGATGTGGGCCTTAATGCATAACTGAACAATAAAACTATGGCCAAGAAGCCAGGATCTTAGATACACAATACCAATAGCGAAGAAATAAAGACAATTAGACGATACAAACAAGAGTACAAATACGAAGATTAACAATGAAGCCAAAATGCAACCAAAATGAAAGGTTAAAAATCGCATCAGATTACATACATTAATGTATGAACAATTTTTATGTTTAACTATTGAAAATGATCTCATTAAAGGATCGAAACATTCAGTTTTTATGTTAGAAATTGTTTTAATAAATTTAGAATAGCACAATACATTTTGCGTGGCTTTTTCAGTCCAAAACGATTAAGTTGAATGATTATTCATACAGAGCCTATTGGCATAAGTAAATTTGTTTAAATGATTAAAATTAAAAAATTTTGATTTCTTTAAAAATATTGTTTTTACTTTTCTCGCATTTATAAAATTTTTAAATATACGAAATAAAATTAATGTCCATGTTTCATTAATGAAATCATTAGCTAACGTTCTAAGTGTTACTTCTTTACAGGATCGTCATGAACTAAAAATACATAAATTTTGAGAAAAAATGTCGAGTTCATATTATCGAAAGAAGAAGCATTTGTTCCTAAAGGAACAACATTTAAATGATTTAGAAGTAGAAACTGAAATTGAGCGAAAAAGCCCAACAGAGTCACTGAGTTCAACGGCATATAATAATGGAAACATGGAATCTCCAAGAAATGACCTACCTGATTCTCCAAGTTTTCATATTTTAGATATTGAACATACCTCTCCACAACTTTTGTCTCTTTCAAATGTTGCAATCACTGAAAAATCTTTATCGTCTATTCTAACTCATAAGCCTTCAATTTGTAATCTTGATGATTCGGATCTATCAAGAAAAAGTCTTACAAATTCTGAAATTGTAAAATCTTCTTTTAGCGACAAAATACATGCATTACTTGTGCGCCACATATCACATGTAACAAAAAACTTCGTTACAACAGAATTAATGGAAATTTTAAGAGAGGATGGTCACATAGAGCTTCCAAAAAGTGCAGCAACTTTATTAAAAAGTGGTAACTATCAAAAAGAAAATCAAACGAATGAAGACACAGAGTCACCGTGATAAGGAATATGGTCATTATGTTTATTTTGGTATCGCGGAAAATCTGAAGCGAATTATTTCACTAACGGAATATAACAAAACTACAATAAAATTATTGATAAATATTGACGGTATGCCAGTTTTTAACCGTTCAAATCAACAATTGTTGCCTATTTTGATGCTTGTATTTGATTCGAATTATGAATCAACTCCGTTTATGGTTGCTGCATTTTGCGGAAAATCGAAGCCAAACTCTGTGAATAAATTTTTAAAGGAATGTATTATCGAAATAAGAGAACTTGTAAAAGACGGTATCAAAATTGAGGAAGTTCACTTCACCGTAGAAATTCTCGGTTTTGTCTGTGACACTCCCGCTCGTTCTTTTTTGAAGTGTTGTAAAGGACATGGAGGCTTCTATGCTTGTGAACGATGCGAGGTAAAGGGAACCTCAATTAAAAATCCCCGAGGAAATAAAAAGAGAATATACGCAAATATAAACGCTACATTAAGAACAAAGAGATCTTTTCAAGAACAACATCAGAAAGAACATCACAAGGGCTGGTCACCTATTGTAAATATCCCGGAGTTCGATCCAGTAAGAGGCTTTCTTCTTGACTCAATGCATTTAATGTATATTGGAGTTATGAAATTATTATTGGAGGCATGGCTTTTTGGAAGTAATCGTGAAACGAAAATCAGCACAAGTCAACGTACATGTTTACGTAACTCTTCTAAAACTGGCAAATGTTCCCGATGACTTTCAAAGAAAGGAATACGACTTGGATAACTTGAGTAATTGGAAAGCCACTCAGTACAGATTTTTTTTGCATTACTCCAGTGTTGGATGTCTTCGTAAAGTGCTACGAAAAGATGTATATGAGCATTTTATGCTCTTTTTTTGTTGCCTCCCGTATTCTTTGCAGTTCTGAATTGGCACTTCGATACACAGAAGTCGCAAGATCTTTATTAAGAGAAAAATTTGTTTATTTATTTCCCACTTTCTATGGTAAAGATTCCCAGAACATTAATGTTCATAATCTTATTCATCTTGCTGATGATGTCGAATACACGAACGTGGAATTGCCTGCGATTTCTGCTTTTATTTTTGAGAATTGCCTCGGTTGGATCAAGAGCACAATAAGAGGGAAAAAAAAGCAATTGCATCAATTAGTAAGGCGTACAGCAGAATTACATTCATATCCTGTAGCTACAGATTTACCACAATCGAATCACCCGCTGAGCAAACATATAACTAAAAAACATGATCTAATCATAGAACTGTACAAGAGCGCTTCTCACCATAGACATAGTAGTAAAGGCAATGTAAAACGAGTCGTGTACAATTGACTCGTCTAATGCAAACAACCTCGTACAATTAGAAAGTGGAAGAATAATTCGCATATCAGACATATCCTACAGCTTTGAGGGATCTGTTTCTCTTACGGGTTTTGGAATATCTAAATTAACAAATCTATTTGAATATCCTTGCGATTCTAAAGAAATAGGTGTTTACCAATTAGGCTCAGAGTCAAAAACAATTCAGAATTTCGATATTAATAAAATTAAAAGAAAATGTGTCCTACTCACTGCTGATAAGAAGCAAATTGCAATTACTTTGCTTCATTCTTAAATGTAATTATTATTATCTTGTATCTTAAAAAAATTATATTGGAATTAAAATTAAATTTAAAGTTTCTTAATTTTTGAAAATTTATGTGGGTGTTTATTTTTGGACGAAACTATTAAAATTCTTTACATTTTTTTTCTCATTATGCAACAAAATTTTACAATTCTTTTTTACAGTTCTATTATTGCCATGGATGATACGCAAGAGTCGTACCATTTGAAAGAAGATACTACGCATGTAGTAATAGTTTTCGTGGAAGGAAATAAAGAAAAGAAAAATGTCGAGCTTGTTCCACGCTCCTGGTTAATATTAACTAAGAGAAAATGGTTATGTTATTACCCAGATCAATCACAGTATAGACATGTCGAAAAATGGGTGCAAAAAAACAGAGAACCGGATCGAGAAAATTGGAAACAATTTAAAGTGAAGATTTTAAAGGAAGCTCGTAAGTATTAAGATTTTAAAGTTTTCAAATCAGATTGAACATATTGTTATGTTTTACTATTTCATAGAAATTTTGATTAACCTTTAAATTATTTTGTTGCAGACAGTCATGCTCAAGGCCTTAGGAGATTGGCTATGTCTTTTGTAGCAGAAGATGTCGACAGTAGCAGTTAAATTGAAAGTTCAGATGACAAAAATGACAAGAAAAAAGACAATGCTGACCAGTCCGAAATGCCAGTAGTACTGCGACAAAATGAAGTTTTGAAAGCTATTCCTGCCTTTCCATCAAACTTGAGAGAAGTGCAAGGTAAATAATATGCAAAATTTAATAACATTTTCGATATCAGAAAAAGTTAAAAAAAAATGTTAATGATATTATGTTTCTGTTAAAGCCATTAACAAACAAACTATATCTGCCAAAATGTCGAACTCAAAGTTGGGTTCTGAATTTCCTGAAAATTCAGCAATGAAAAATCCAAAAAATAAATTAGGAGCAGAATCAGGATCCGAAAGCGAATTTGAAAGCGAACGTCATGGTATCATAAAGAAATAACTCACTTTTATTCCCCTTTACAATCACTAATAATGTTAATTTATAATATATATTTAAATTTAATCATTTTAAAATTATTATTTAATTTAATTTAAAATCTTAAAATTAATAGAAATAAAATCCAATTGCCTTCAATTTCAGAAACGTCATCTAGTGATGATACGTTTGACGATTCAGCGACTTCCTTCGTTTCTAAAAGAAACAATGATAAAGGCCTTACTTCGGACAGAAAGAATTTGAAAGAAGCACAAGATGACCAACAAATAAGTAGGGGACTGCAGAGAAAGTGCTCTTCTTGTCTACAACTACAGGGTACTTTAAAACCAACTTTCACATAAAATCTTGTGATCTTTTCAAGAGATTCAATGCTTAATTTTAATATGTTTCAGTTAAATTAGAAAAGATCAGTAAAGATTTCGAGACGAAGCTTGAAAGTGTAAAGAGAAGTATACTCTACGATTTAAATAAAAAAATTAACGAATTGAAAATAATGATGAAGGCTGCAGTTGAACCCGAAATTGGCGAAACTCTAAAACAGAGAGAGATTTTACCGCCCTTACCAATGACGACATTAGAAGATTTTCAGCGTTTTGAAACCAGTTAAATTAATGACATGTCCGTAGCATTAGTACGTATAATCACAATATTTGTTTGCAGTCGTCAGTTTTTACAATTCATTTTGTTTTTAAAATTTATCTTTATGTAATTTTATTACGAATTAAATATTTTCTCTGATTTGAAGACCTTTCTCTTTTTATAATTAAAAAAAAATCGGCTTAAGACTCTTCAAATTTATTTTTATCTAATATAAATTAATTACTTTCTTCTCCGTTTATGGTTCAATTTACTATTTAATTTTGCTACAATCTTTCGTAGAATGTTCTTTAGTTGTACAAGTACTTAAAAAATTAATGATAAAATAAAAAAACAGATCAACAAAAAATCGAACAGTTAAATAATTACTTACTCGGCTCTTTTTTATTTATTTAATTACAATTTCTAGCTGCATTATAAAAGCTAATTATTTTAAGTAGAATTACTGGTTGAACTAACTATTATTTATGGTCTGTGTAATTTTGATTGAAATTTTGGTTGAAATAATAAGAAAGTTCAGTAAATCTGTATTTAGTTTAACCAAAAATTTAAACTAAAATAAAAAATTCTAATCAATTTAACTGTGTCATTTCAATGGTTTTCTTGTGACTAATAAACTTTTTAAATTAGATTCTCTAATTTTTTAATATTTAATTAATTTTAGAAATTTTAGAAATGCAAAGATTGTTCGGCTCTCTTGAATTGTGCAACCCCACTTCGATTTACTTTAAAATGAATTACTCGTTTTTAACGAACCGTACGGTCTACTGTAGATCAAATTCGTCTTTGTAGCTTTTAATCAGTTTAGCGCACGTCAACGTTTCACTGATAACGTTAATCATTTTGCGAGTATTCATTTAACAATCATTAATTTTTTCAGAAATCATTTATGCTGATCAATTCTAATTTGCTGCCAGATTTCAAAACAGCCGTTAATGCAATTCTGCCTATGATAATAACAAAAAATATCCAAATCCAATTTAGCGGATTTGGCCGCATTACAAAGGGAAAAAGAAAAGAAAATTTTTCAAAGACAAAAACATATAACATCTTAAAAGGCAAGTAATTGTTATATGCAAAGCGCATTGAAAATTTGTATTTTAATTAATTTACCACATAATTTTTATGTACATAACTAATTTTATATTTCATATTTCAGAAATTACACTTCAAAAATTTACCGAGATTTCAATAAAAGATTTTAATAGCTACATCTCTCGTTGGTTATCCAATGCAGGAGATCGCGATGGTGAGAAACAACAAAGGAATAAAAATAATAACTGAATAAAAGTAATAACTGACGAAGCAAACCATATGACATAAACGAGAGAGTGTTAAAAGCAAGCGATTTATATAAATTAGAGAGTAGAAATAATTCAGGGTGTCCCCTACCAGGAAAAATCTGGAAAACCTGGAATTCTCAGGAAATTATTTTGTAAGATTTGAGTACCCACCCCGTTAAATTGGTTTCCTTCAAATTAACTCAATTGGGTAGAACGTTTTAATTTTGTTACATATTTAAACAATAGTGTTGAGATGAATAGAATTAACTATTTTTTTGCAGCTGCTGCTTTATATTATATTAGTTTATATTATTATTTTAATATATTATTATATTATAATATTAGTAATATTATTATATTAGTTTATATTATTTTCAATCGGAAGAAAAAAAGATGAAGAAAGGCGACAGTATAAATTGTGAACAGCCTTTAAGGGAGAAACCTGTATAGTGGATTATATATTTCCTGAATCCTTTGAGGAAAGCGATCTGTTATCAAAATATGTTGTTGAACATATTCTTGTACACTTGTATACAAAACTTTATTCGTATTAGTTCTGATTTAAAATTGCTACCTATTTGAGTCTTTAAGGAGTCTTAAAGTGAAGCCCGAACTCCGAAATCGCTGTTTCATTGATAAAATGTGACACATCTTTATATACTAGTACATCAACGTCGTACGCACACATATACATAAATTTTCGTAGAACGATAGCAACATAGCGTTTTAATTAGACGTCCAAGTCTAATTTCAAGAACTCGACATTGTTTATTTATGTAATCTATTAATCTGTAGCCTCCAATTTTGTAAATACAGATTTGTACAGATCGCAAAACTTTCGTAGCAAATGTTGTCACACAACTTGATAGCTCTAGATAACATTTTGGGCTAAAAAAAATGATAAAAAAGATTATAATTTCAAAAATCTGTATCGTTCTCAACAAAGTTTGTTCCAAAAATTAATTACTAATATATATAAGAAAGTTATCATTTTTCAAAACTGGTTTTATTCTAACTATAGAAATCAGTGCCTTACACGGTCTAGCTGGATTCTTAAATGCTTCTATGATTCTGTGTGAATTTATACATTACATATGTAGTCTTTTTGAAACGCGTGCCGAAATGATTTTCCGGTTTTTGAAACGCTGACTCTAATAAACTATCGCATTGGTAGTTTAAAGGCTTAGGACGCTTGCACGGAATGCAAGAGATGCGGGCACTGACTTCTACAATTTATGTTATCACATATTACGGTCCCATAATATATTGTTTTTATTCTAATTCATTTAAATAAATTAAATTTTTGTCTGTACACTGCATAAACTTACATATTTTCTTGATAACTATTGCTATTCATGCGCATTGTGGAAAAAGTGGTCTCAGAAATTTCTATGTCTGTCTGTCTCTCTGTCTGTCAATATGTCTGTCAATCTGTTCTCGGAATTTTGATGCATCACGAGAAAACGGCTTAATCCATTATTATCAAATAGAAATTAGGAGAGAGGGATATTCCTTACGTAGTTATTAAAGTAATGCTAGTACCGGACCAATACAGACTTTCTGTACTCAGTACCGATCCCAGTACCGATTGCGAACTTCCAGTCGAGTTAGCTTTCGGTACAATGCCAGTACCATGCCAGTACAGACTTTCTGTACCGGCTCAGTATCGATCCCAGTACTGCCCCAGTACCGATTGCCAACTCCCAGCCGAGTTAGCTTTCGATACAATGCCAGTACTATGCCAGTACAGACTTTCTGTACCGGCTCAGTACCGATCCCAGTACTGCCCTAGTACTGATTGCCAATTTCCAGCCGAGTTACATTTCGGTATAATGCCAGTATCATGCTAGTACAGACTTTTCGTACCGGCCCAGTACCGATCCCACTACTGCCCCAGTACCAACTGCCAACTCTCAGCCGAGTTACCTTTCGGTATAATGCCAGTATCGCGCCGTAGTCAATCTTGCAATATACCAGTACCCAACCAGTACCAAAATCCTTAGTGTGGTACTGGCTCGGTACCAAGCCAGTTGTAAATTTCCACCTGGGTTTAATAATGCTACACTTAAAAATGATATTTACTATTTGCCGCCTTGTTTCTAATAACTTTGTACATGTAAATATCATTTTTATATTAGAACTATCACATTTAAAATGTATGATTGTAAGATAAACATGTAGAAGAGCGAGAGGGAGAGAGAGAGAGAGAGAGAGAGAGAGAGAGAGAGAATACGCGTGTCCGAACGTGTCCGCATAAGTTTGAACATGTATACTCACTTATCATCCTGCACAAAGATCAGCCCTTCATGAAGATACAGATCGAGTAAAGATCCTTTTCTCTTTTTTTCTCAAATCACTTGTATTACTTGTATCACTTGTATCGCTTTTTGTTCTTCTTAAATCACTTGTGTCACATTCACACACTCCAATTATTAACGAATTAATCACTATCGTCAATTACTATTGATTACTATTAATTCACTCACGCTTGAGAATTACTCGAAGAAAGAAACACGTGTTTACGCGATAAAAACACGACACGTGTTTACAAGCGAACAGTCGACTAGTTTTATTGGTTATTGTTCGTGGTAACCTGCCGAATACGTGATTGGCTGCGTTCAGCGGAGAAAGCAGCTTTGCAACTATTGTAAATCATAATAAAGAATCTTACAACGATTATAAAGCTGCTCTTTCTGTTGAATGCAGTCGTTAATTGAGCTTCAGAAATCAGAACGCGACAATTAAAAAGTAAAAATATCTATGATTTATATTAGTATAATTTATTAAAAAATTGCATTTGCAATATTTTTTTTTTAAATAAATTATATTAATTCTTTATTAGTCATTTCCCGTTAATTCTCGTTGAAAGTTGTATGAAACAAATCATACAATTTCCTTAAGTATTTTATTTATTTTTGATTTATAATACTTTGCGAACTGTAAGAAAATTCCACGAATGAAATATTTGGTTGCCCTGAAAAGGGCAGATTAATTATTTCATTTCTTTTTCGTTTTTCTTTCTTCACAATAGATGTTCGAAGTGGCCACCGTCCATTGCGACACAAGCTCTCAGACGTTTCAAAATTTCTCTGAGTCTTCTATAAAATATCGTTGTCAATACTTCAAATAGCGTAATGGAGCTTGTCATTTAAATCTTCTAAGTCTTCGGGAGATTTTCTATAAATAACTTCTTTACAGTGTCCCCATAGGAAAAAGTCCAAGGGATTAAGGTCCGACGACCTTGCAGGCCAAGGTATTGGACCATACCGGCCCATCCAACAGCCGGGAAATTGTTCGTTTAAATAGTCCGTGACAACTCTTGCATTGTGAGGTTCAGCACCGTCTTGTTGGAATATAATTTTGTTTCTTTCAGCTAATGATATTTTTTCCAGAAAATCTGGAATATTTTCTGCCAAAAAGTTCTTATATGATGCGCCATTTAGAATCTCTGGCAGAGGCTACGTTTACACCGTACGTTTAGTCCGCGGCCTATACCCCAAATTCGACCTAATTTAGATCACATTATTTAGGCCGCACGCTGTAAACCCTACTATACCTGACCTGTTGTAGATCAGGCCGGATTTTTTAGAGCCCTCACCTAAAATAGATCGTCTACTTTCTTGGTGTAAACGCGCGACTGACTCTACCTAAAAGCTTCGTAGCCATTTGCTCGGTAGGACACTGCTATTTTGTTGAATAGTTAGGTTAAACCGGTTTGTTATTTACT